GACTTCATTAGATTGTGAAAGGGGTCTGTGACAAAAAAAAAAAAAAAAGGTTAAGAACTTCTGATCTAAATAGTTGTTTTTATGTGTTCATCAAAATGACTGTAACATAAAATCTACTGCCTAAAACCGAGGGAAAAAAAAAGACACCCACACTTACCAAAGAACAAGATATCTGTGAGTTTGTTTTTAATGCATCTAGAAATGTACAAGTAGTTCTGAGTGAGGGGGCAGTAATGGGGGACAGTGAATTTCCTATTTGATTGCCTCCTAAAGAAGACTGTTAAACTGAGATTGCTGTGCTAGCAGCCCAAAGCAAAATAAAAGCCATTAAGAAAGGGCTTGTTCCTCTTTGCAAATAGCCCTAGGCTGGCACAGGCTAATTTATCCACTGCATCTTAGAAGTGAGCAAAAGATACATTACATCCATAGAACTGACTGGGGAAAAGGAAATGTTTCTCTACCTAGAACTCTAACTTAAATTCTTCATTAAAGAAGTCTTCTCTATTATCTCCTTTTAAAAAAAAATCTAGACAATGGCATATGTGTGTGTTGGAGGGAATATCCTAAGAGCAACTAAGCTGAACTGTAGCTCTCTGTTAGTAAGAATAGAGATAAGGGCATGATGGCAATATTTTATGGTCAAACTGCTTTGACATGACAGTTGTATGGGCTTTTATATTAGCACCCATAAGGCAACATGTTTCTGGATTTTAAGATTAGAAATACTGCCATTTGCATTCTACCTACCTTCCACCATCTACATACATATATGTACAGAGATTTATATATATATAATATATATACACACATATATTCATATTCATATACATATATACATTTATATATGTACAAAAAAGTCCATACATATTACATATATGTAGACTCCTTGTGATTTTACATATTTTGCAACTGATATTTTTATTATAATGTGTACTTGGTTTATTCAGTTACTAATTGCTGAAATATTGAGATTGTTCAGTAATGGTTTATGGGGGCAGAATATTTGAAATCAGGACTAACCTGGAAGATCTGAGATGGATGATCACTTTTGGCAGGAGGAACAGATGTAGGACTCAAAGAACTGACATTCATTTTGATGGCCCACCAGCTCTAATTAAAATACTGATGATCCAGGTCCAGTGGATTGTTCCAACTGTTGTGAAGGCTGTTGGGGATCTGCTGCAGGTGTTGTGATTTGGGACTTGTTTAGGAAGTTTGATCTGGAGACCTTCAGGGGCTTTTGGGGGTGGTCCAAGCTGGAATTTCTTTAGAGAACATGTCCAAGAGATCAAAACCAGCCAGTAAAAGCACTTTTGGCTTAATGATTGATTGGTTCAGAACATCTTTGCTCTTCTCTGGATAAGGGCCTGGGTTGGGGTGGAGAGCAGAGAAGGTGGTCCTAAATAGTTGGCAATATGGCTCTTGGACTGATCCCAGATTTTCACTGGTAGGGGGTGGCCCTTTGTGATTATTGTTTTTCAATGCTCTGCCCAGTCTTCAAGTGACTCGATCTTAATTAAGCATTGCCAGTGTTGGCATCTGTTCTTCAAACTGAAATTTGAAAAACCTAGTTAAGGGCTGCTAGAGGATTAAGGGTCTCCAACAGGTCCGTACAACATATAACCCTCTGGCCACTTGTGGCCCACCAAAGGATTTAGAGTGACTCATGAAAAAATGTAGAGGATGTAAAAGAAAGTAAAGATGTAACAAGTGCTTTGCTTGTGCCCCACTTAACCGGTCTTCCATTAGTCACTATTGTGCCTGTCATGTAACTTGGCAGCTGGGTTGCCACTGCACACTCTCTCCCGTTTGTCACATGACTGGTGGTGACCACTGTCAGTCTGTCTCTGTTCTGAGAGGAGTGAGAGTAGTAGTATCTTTTTGATGTGTTTTCAGTCCTTACCGGTGTTGAATAGGGACAAAGTGAGTGCAGCCACGAGCCAGTGCAGCTATGGGATGAGTGGCAATAACTCAAGGCTTTCTTCTCTTCCCTCCATGTGCAGCCATCCTCCAAGTTACAGGAATGTCTGGCACTCTCCAAGGTCAGAAACTCAGTTCAGTATTTCTTTGTATGTGAACAGTTGCTGTGGAGATTTTTTTGGTTCTAACATTAAAATTTTGGGGGTGACTTTGTAGGTGATAAAAAGAAATGGAAGATCAAATCAGAACATAGGGTCTTTAATCCAGAGTGGACAAACAGATACTTCTTTACTTACATGAGAGACAAAATATTGTGCCTTATTTATGGAGAATAGCTGTTCAGAAGGAATGCAATCTTCGTTGCCATTTAGAATCAAAACATCCTGACTCAAGCAAATTGGACACCAATGAAAAAGAAATTAAAGTGTCCACGTTTGTTGAAAAACCTCAGTGGGGAACAAAGGTTTTTCAAGAAAGTAAACTCAGAAAATGAGGCTATTAATGTTAGTTTTCAGATTTCTAAAGAAATTGCTGCTGCTGAGAAGTCTTTTACTGAAGGTGGCTTCATACAGAAGTACTTGCTGATTCAAGTTTCTGCCTTACCTCTGATACAAAAGGGTTTTTGAGAAATAGTTTAATCATTAATTATACCTTTACTTGGAAAGTGAGCCGCTAAAAATCCATCTATGGCCCTATTTTAATTTTGACCCCTACCTACTGCCAAGTTGTGAAGGTCTGGTCTAGAGGTCTAGTGCCTAGAACAAGAGAGAATGATAGTCTTATCACCCTAATTTACTTGGAGCTTTGTGTTCAGTCCGAGGACCCACAGTAAGCCGACAAGATGGAGTCAGTCCAGAGAAGGATGCCCAGGTTGATGGACCTGGACCTCAAAATCATGCCCTAGCACGGTTAATTGAAGGAGCTGAGGATGTTTGGCTAAGAGAGAAGCCTTAGGAGGGGAATTGATTACGGTCTTCAGGCCCGTGAAGGGGCTATCAGGGGTAAGTAATTTAGTGAACTAGACCCACCCTAGGGGACAGAATTAGGTCCAAGGGGAGGAAGCCACACAGAAGCAAAGGTTGGCTCACTTCCTAACAGCCAGCGCTTGCCACGGACTGAAGAGGCTGCCCCCAGACGGGGCCCCCAGTGCAGAGTTGTTGAGATCTGTGCTTTGGGTTGGGGGTTGGGTTGAATGAGGAGACCTTAGGTCTGACCCAGGCTGTGATTTTGAGGGCTCTCATCAAAAGGTCCCTCTATCCACTTGTCTGAACCTATAATTTTCTTTGATGCAAAAGAGGGAAAAGGCGGGGTGGGGGAATGTTCCCATTTCCGTTGCCAAGGTAACACTGCTTCTGGGTCGCGGCGGGGTTGGAGAGGTGTTCTCCATGGTTGGCCCCGACCCCTCATCCCAGAAGCGTTAACTGGGGGCCGCTGAAACGACAAGCAGGGTAAGGGGTTTTCTGTAGTCCGTTTTTTGCTTTTTTGTTTTTTCCCGGGGGGGGGCACGGAGCTGAGTCCAGGAATCAGTTTTCCAGTGTAACTGGGGCGTTACTGGAAGAGGTGTCCATTCATTCCTTAGCATTTCAACCGCAATAACGGTCATTCGAGACCAGTAAGGGCGGGAGGAGAAAGGGGTAACTTGGGACCCCGCCACCGGACACAAAGTTCGAGGCCACCGTCCCAGCGTGATTGGCTCAGAGCCACGCCCCTTTCTGTCCTCGAGCCAGACGCCTGCGCGGGCAGGGAGGAGCTTCGTTGAGGTGTGGAGGGCTTTATGACGAACCTCCGGCCCTCGCTGCGATTCTTCGCCGAAGAGGCGTAGAGCCATGTCCTCCGCAAGCGTGCTCAAATGCCTACGCCTCCCACCCTACGCCCCCTCTCCTTGCCATAATTTCAGCGCGCCGGCCTCGTGGCCCTGCGCCTGGCTCAGCGACCCCACGAGAGGTCGCTGGGGCGCGCAAGGGGGCGGAGCTGGCATGACCGATCAGGCGCGCTCGCGTCCTGGGTGACGCAGAAGGGAACTGGGAGTAGGCGAGGTTGGAAGACTGGGCTGGCTAGAGCAGCCTGGTCGGGGAAGGGTGTGTGGGTGGTGCATAAAGTCCTGGTCCTCTCTGGGCCGAGAGCCCGCTCTCGCTGTTGCACTCCGTGCTAGGAGCAGATCCGGCGCAGGGGTTTCGGGCGGGAGGAAGGAGTCGGTCCTAGGGCAGCCTCCGCCCCCCCGGGGAATCTGTCGGCTTGCCTGCCCGCCCCTACGCCCGCCCGCTGCGGGCCCAGCAGGCCTAGGTGAGCGGGGCCAGATCGCGGCGCCTGAGGAGTCTGGAAGGGAGAGTGTAAAGTTGGAGCCGGAGAGTTGGGGGAGAATGGACCATTGTCTGGAGGAGGGCCAAGGAGCCGGACCTGATGAATGGAGGGCAGAGAGAGTCCAGGAAGGAGGAGGAAGGAGGGATGAAGGTTTGAGGACGGGATGTGAGGAGGGAGAGCTGCAGTGCTTACGCCCGTCTCCCTTTTCCTTCTTATTATCAATCCCCCGCCTTTCCCCCATCTCCCTTCGGCACACCAAGATTGGCCAAACCTGGACCTTGGCCGTGGAGAAGCAGCAGATGTGAAGCAGCGTAGGTGCCCATTGACGCTCTGAAAGGGACGCAATTGGGGCTGCAGGGCGAGCAAGTTTCTGTGTGTGGTGGAGAGAATACAGTCGGCATTTTGTTAGTCTCTGACTTCCCTTTCTGCCTCAAACAGATGCGGCTTTGTTTATCCATCCCACTAAAATTTGATTCCTTGTTTAAAAAAAAATTAACTGGCAGACCTTTCTTTTTTTTTTCTCCTCACTATTTCTTATTTAATGTCTATATCGAGGATAGCCTTATCAGTTGGATGATTTCGAAGGTTATGAATAGTTGTTTATATTGTTTCACAGATGCCTGGAGGTAGGTTGATAGGTGTAAATACTCATTCCTTTCCTTCTGGAGAAGGTGTGGATGGGTTATAATCTCCACTGATAGAAGTACACCCGTGGATCTTGAATCCATTCAAATGCTAACATATTTAAGTAATCTGTTGTTTGATTTGTGTTTTCTGTTTGTTCATCTATTTGTCGGTACGGGAACTCTTTTGAAGTATGAATTCAGTTTTTTGTAATAGATTTAGGGTAGAGTCCCTGAATAGCTTGATCCTTGATGTCTTTGTTTTAAGGAACCTTTTTAAAATTCATACACTGCATTTTCTTGGGTAAGATGCAGGAAACAGCAAAATGTAATTAATGACTAGAGGTAACACCAAAAACGTCAGATTTTTTTTTTTTCCTCAGCCGGAGATACAACATAATAAGGGGCTGAGAACTCTAGCCATCTCTTATTCCTCAATGAACCGACTTCTCATTTGACCCCTTATAAGTAGCTAAGTAAGGCAGGAAGAGAGTCTGGTGATGTGGGTTCAGACTAAATGCTTTCTAATCTTACATTTTAAAGCTTCCTCCCAGATTTGAGTGTCATATCAAAGACATTTTTAGTTTGACTCCTTTGTTTTGCCGTAGTCCTTAAGTAAACTGTTCCAGGCTGTTTGAGCTAGCCCAGAAAGTAGTTTAATTGTGATCTTTGAAGTGGAGTGGTTGTGTGTTGTTTCAGTTACTCTGGAGAAATAGGGCAGCGGAGTAGTTTCTGCAAAGGTGAAACTTTAACCTTAACATAGTCCTACTACAGAGTTGGGTGTTTATGATGGTAAACTGTATATAAACTTCAGCTATTATTAACTTTTATCCTCAAACAGTTTTGTAAATCAGGGCCGGTATTGCTACTTTATTTTTATAGTCAGGGAAACTTAAGTCAGATAGATTGTTGATTTGCCGAAAGCTATACAGTTGGTATGTAGCAAAGCTAGAATTCCAACCCAGGTCTCATCTCCAAATCCAGTGTTCTTTCCATTATGTCATAAACTACTTGTTTCATCACACGGACTAGTTAGAACCTGAACCTCTGTGTTAACTGACCTTTTTGATTTTGGCAATTTGGTGCATCTCTTAGCAAATCAGGCTGACTCTCTATCTCACTTCATTTGTTCATTCAAGCACAGTTTATCGAGTGCATGCTTTGGTGGGTACTGTGTAGTACTAGTGATACTATTGTGCTAAAGGAAGTAGTAATGTCTGCCACCTTTAAGGAAGAATACAACTAACTGGGAAGTCAGCACGGTTGCTGTGACCAGGGAATGATTTAAGAGCTCCTTAAGAACGTTCAAGTATAAGAAAGGTGTTGGATAACTTGTGTAGATAAGTGTTAGAGGATTTTGTGTGGTAAAGAGAAGGGGCTAATTAGAGTCCACTGGGGTTAATTCTTGTGTTCTTGAAGATGAGTCTTAGAATTTCTATCTGCGGCACTTCATGATGCAGACTTTTATTCTGTTTCAAATCTCTACTGGTACACCTATCTAATTTGAATTTATAGAGTAAAAATCTTCCCCGGTCCTATTTTGGGTTAGCACTAATGTAAATTTGGATGTTACTAGGCTAGGGACTTTGTCTATACACTGAAAGTTCATTATAATGCTACACTTGGCATCTATGCAAATCAGCTTTACAATAAGATATTATTAATACTTTTAATAATTAAATTCCTTGAATTCCATTGTGGACCTACCTTCAAATGAATATTGCAATACAATGATTGCAATATAACAAATAGTGTTAGGTGAGATTTTTTTAAGTTTTATTTTTTTTTACATTATATTTACAGATTCCCCACTCCATTAGCTATCTCTTGTAACAAAATAAAACAAATAAATTAAATAAATAGCGACTTCATCTTGAAATTAATGTAACATTTGGAAATTGTATCATCCCCCCCAATTTTTAAGTTGTTTTTCAGTGAACAGAAATCTGTTTTCTCTTCGTCCTCTCCCCCACCCCGTGGAAAAAGTAAAGAAAAATTTCTTTTAACATATGCACAAACAAAATAAATTCCCTTGTTGGCTCTTGTGTGTGTGTATGTATAAAGATATATGTGTATAGAGTGTGTAGAGACAGACAAATTCGTTTTTTCGAACTCTAAACCTGTGTCAGGAGGTAAACAGTATCTTTTATCATTGGTCCTCTGGTATCATGAATGGCCATTGTGTTGATCCTAGTTCTTAAAACTTTCAAAGTTTTTTACAATGCTGTATAAATTGTTCTCATTTTGCTCATTTCATTCTTCATAAATGTATAATATTTGTAATATAAATTGTTCTTCTGGTTCTTTACTCTGTAACAATTTATATAAGTCTTTCCATCTCTTTGAAGTCATCTGTTTTCTCATTTCTTATGGCATAGTGGTATTCTATCATATTCATGACCACAATTTATTAAGCCATTCAGTAATTTATAGGCATCTCTTTAGTTTCCAATTCTCTTTCTACAATAAGTAGAGCTGCTATAAGTATTTTTATATATGTGGGTCTTCTCCCTTTTTCTTTGATTTCTCTAGGGTAGAGGCCTAAGAGTAGTATTGTTGAGTCAGAATGTATGCACAGATTAGTGACTTTGGGGTATAGTTCCAAACTGCTTTTAATAAATGCTGGACCCAGTCCCAACTTCACTAAACAACAATGTATTAATATGCCTGTTTTCTCATAGCTTATATGTTGAATTCTATAGTTTAAAATTCTTTTTCCCCCACTTAAGAAAGCTAGTTCCACAAACCCTTCTATTTCTGGTTTTATTATTTTTGCCTTTAAACTTTTGTCTTTTTATCTTTGGGTCACTTTTTTCTGCTTTGTAGTCGTGTGTGTTTACATGCATATATATGTATACGATAATATCTCAAATGAGATGGTATTTGTAAAGTGCTTAGCATAGTGCCTGGTATGTAGTAGGTGTTATGTAAAATGTTTATTCCTTGCCTTGACGTGTTTAGAAATGAAATTTTAGTTATATGTTTTCTAAGCTTCAGTTCGGTTGGAGGAAGGTTCAAATGATCAATAGAAAATTTTGGTGCTAAATGTTTCATCCTTTGCTGCTGCTCTCCTTACAAGAGAGGATGTTTTAAGTTGTCAGCTCTAATTTTAGTTCACATTTGGATAGCCGGGGGATATCTTTTCTTAGCTTGTCTTCGTATTCCTATTATTTGACAAATAACCATTGTTAAAACCATTGTTAAAAACCATTAATTTTTTGCTCCCTTGGTGCAGCCTCTTTTGGATTTGAATTCTGGTGCCTCAGTCATTTCTGGATCTATGCTAAAATGTATGAAATGATCTCTTTGTAAAAGATTTCTAAGTTTGATTTCCATGGTGTAGTCATACAGAATGGTTTGAGAATTGTACACAGGTTTGCTGTCATGGGTGACTTTTAGCCATTGTTTTATGGCAAGTTAGAGAGGACCAGAGAACTGGTTTAAGGTGATAGTTTGTCTTTTCTGGAAGCTGGAGGCCCACAAAATTGGTTTAAGGAACTAGTTTAGTTTAGAAAACTATGTGGTATTTTTCTTGACAGCAGTGATCAACATCCTTGTTTTTATCAGATTGAGGACAAGTATAATTTCTTATGTTTTGGCTTAAATCAATAAAGCACAGAGAAAATATGTCTTGTTTTAACTTTTTCTGTATGCTGCCCTGATATATGAACTAATATTTTGGACTATCTGATGCCAGACTATGTATCTGTTTTCTTGGGACCAGCTTAGCTAAATTTGGCAAGGCTTATTACTAGTTTGATAATAGGGGTGACAAGTGTTTTAGCCATGGCAGCTCTTGAAGACTGTCTACTAAAAACATAATAGGCTGTGATTCAGCACTGGTAGAGTTGTAGCCACAAAATGAAATCATAGGTCCTTGAAGCAGTGAAGTATATATAAACCCATCATTTCAAAGCATATATTTTTGTATTTAGATCATAACTACAGCTCTCTGGCTTGTCCTATCATCCAGTCTTAGCTGAAGGTGTCTTCTCGGGTTTCTTCAGGATGCCTGCAGCACTTGTGGAGAACAGCCAGGTTATCTGTGAAGTCTGGGCCAGCAACCTAGAAGAAGAGATGAGGAAGATCCGAGAAATTGTGCTTAGTTACAGTTACATTGCTATGGTAAATGTGCTGCACTGTCTTTGAATTACTTGTTGTTATGGAAATGAGGAAATTAGATTTACTATTCTAATTAGTAAATTTGACTGACCAGGCAGTGATAAACTACAGACGTGGTAGCCCACTGCCTGTTTTTATACGGCCTGCTAAGAGTGGTTTTTACATTTTTAAATATAGTAAACTTTATTTTAAAATGTAAAAACCATTCTTAGCTTGCTATACAGAAACAGGCAGTGAGCCCCATTTGACCAGAGAGCTGTAGTTTTCTGACCCCTGCACAATATAACCAAGTTATATGAAACTGGATGGCAAATTATGCTGTTTTTTATGAAACACAGCAATGTAGAAGCTAGGACATAGAGTGCAGCAAGTTATGGCAAGTAGAGCCTCCTGCTTGGACTGCTTGTAATAGCTCCCTGACTGACTTTACTTTCTCTAGGGTCCCCTCTTCATTGGGTCCTACATATGCTGCCAGATTAAATTTTCTAAGCACTGCTGTCATTCCCCAGTTTACAACCCTTGGTAACAGTAGCTCCCATTTCTATAGTTATTTCTTTACAGTTTACAAAGTGCTTTCCTTACAATGACCCTGTGACACAAGTAGTACCAGTATTATTATCCCCATTTTACTGAGGAGGAAACAAGCTTTTGATCAAATCGTGACTTGCCCAGGATCACAAAACTAATTAGAGGCAGAGGTAAGACTTGAACTCAGGTCTTATATATCCATTGTTATTTCTACTACACAATGCTGCTTCTCCCTCAGGGAATTCTCATTGCCAATAGGAATTAAAGCCAGACTTCTTTGGTTGATATTAAAAACCACTTCATAGGTTGGTACCAACCTAGTTCTGGTCTTATTCCCCATGACTCTATGACAATTTTCACCTGGCTAAATTGGTTCAATTTACTGTCCCCAAGATGTACTTTGTATTTTCCAGTTTTCATTCCTTTTCTTGTTATAGTTCTTCTGACCTGGAATACACTTACTTTGTTGTTCACTAGTAGTGTTGATCTATATATCCACTATATCCATTCCTGAATGATAGCCTTATATTTCCCCTTGCCTGCGTCAACTAAATGTAAATTCAGCATGTTCAAAACTGAATTCATCATCTTTTCTACAAAGTCTGTTTCTCCAGTGCCACTTGGCACCACCATCCACCTAGTACTTCAAGGTCTGCCTTTCTCTTCTTTAGTCATTCCCTCACATCCACTCAGATGTCAAGTTTAAAAAAATGTTTTCTGTAATATTTCTTGCATATTTTGCTTTCTTTCCACTTTACCTGCCACCACCCTAGTTTGATCTTTTTCACTTTTCATCTCAGTTATAGTCGTGGCTTTTTACCTTCTGTCTCTTCTTTATCTATCCTTCATATAGCTACATGAAATAATCTCTCACAATAATCTTCCTAAAGCAGGACTTTCACCAAGTCACTCCTGTGCTCAAAAGCATTCAGGGGTTTCATATTACCTATAGGTAAGATACAAACACTTTGTCCTTTCATTTTGTCCCATACTCTTTTGCGTCTTTGTGTTCAAACAGACCAACAATCTTTCCTTCTTAAATCCGAAACTTCCCCCCAATATGTTTTTTAAAATTATGTCTTTGATTTTTCCCTCCCCTTCCCCCCCCTTGGTCCCGCTCTTCCCCTTTCCCCTCCCTCCCCCCCTGCCCCGAGTTCCTTTTTCACATTTCATCTTTGTTGAATGTAAGCAATCTCATTTTTTGTCTTTGTATCCCTAGAGCCCTGTTGTTCCTTAGCAGGCACTTAGTAAGTGTTTGTGTTTGAATTTGTTGTTAAATAGGATCATGGATTTAGAAGGGGCCTTTATAAGTCTTCTAGTCCAGTTCCTTTATTTTTCAGATGAATATGAGGTACAGAGAACTTAAATAACTTGCCCAGGGTCAGAACTAGATTGAACACAGGTTCTGAGTCCAGATCCAGCGCTCTTCCCCTCAACCAGACACCCAAATTCTGTACATGTATATTGAGTGTCTCTAGTCGTTTCTGCCCACTTACTTTTAGTGTCAGAACTATTTCACACCTCTTGAGATCCTATAATAGACAAGTACTTCTAGATATGATGGTGCTGCTGCTTTATTTTAACTGGCATTAGGTTGGCTAGTTAAATGATTTCTTTATAAACTGAGGTCACAGTTTTATAAACCCTTGGGGAGGTAGATGAGATAGCAGTTTTAGTAGCCATTACAGAACTTTGCACTGAGAAATGCATTTCCAATCTTCTTTAGGACACAGAATTTCCAGGTGTTGTAGTGAGACCAATTGGGGAATTTCGAAGTTCCATAGACTACCAGTATCAGCTTCTTCGGTGTAATGTTGACCTGCTTAAAATTATACAACTGGGCCTCACATTCACAAATGAGAAAGGAGAATATCCTTCTGGAATCAACACCTGGCAGTTCAACTTCAAATTCAATCTTATGTAAGTTGTCTGTGTTTTTTTTTTTTTCCGTCACCTGCTAAGTTGGTATATTTGTGATTACAAGTAATTTTATTAGGTTCTTTTCTTAATTTTTGAACCAGTTTTTTATTTTAAACTTTGTAATTTATTGAACATGTCATTCAAACTTAAGATATACTTGGACCTACAGAGGTCAAGTATTAAAATCTCAATACTTCCAGAAACCATGAATTTGTTGGTGTGGGTTGTTTTGTCCACCAGTGCCAGATTATAGTCTTTATATCCTTTAGTGTAAGTTCATTACCTTGCATCCAACCTGATGATGTATTTCTGTGAATTTAGGAAAATACTTGAATGCCCCATATACTGTATGTCATTGGGCTGGTACTTGAAACCTTTCCAGAAAGGTAGAGCATGACAGAGCTTGTGTTCTGCTAACATATCCTTTTAAGTCCTGCATTTACTTATATGCCAGGATGAAGCATTAGAGTAGGCCTTCATAGAGGAACTTTATTCCATCATGTTTTCCATTCTTGATGGTTCTTAGCATTTAATTACATTGTATTCCATAGTTTGAACCATTCCTCAACCATTGGGCTTCATTAATGTGTGTGTGTGTGTGTGTGTGTGTGTGTGTGTGTGTGTGTGTGTG